ACTAGAATAGTGTTGTGTGTGTGTGTGTGTGTGTGTGTGTGTCTGTGTGTGTGTGTGTATGTGTGTGTGTGTGTGTATATGTGTGTGCGTGTGTGTGTATATGTGTGTGTGTATGTGTGTGTGTGTGTGTGTTTAGACTGCATGAATCTGATCTGTGATGTCAGTCCAGTACTGATCTGATCGACCTGATTTGTTTCAACGTCTAGATATCCGTCTCTTACTCATAAATTAAGTGTATTTGTCCAATCATGCAAAGTTTGAGACACAAGCGTTTTATTTTGAGCGAAAATACCAATTCCATAAAGGCAACAGATGGGTCATCATTATGAATTGTGTTTGAGCTCCCTTCACAGAAACGGTGACAATATGCTCTAGAAATAGAGAGGGGACCACAAAAAAGAGGGAGTAGCTGTACTCTCCGAAGATGGCTATGACTTGCATTTATTGTCATTTTTTGTCATTGTTACTTATCGGAAGGACCATAAATTGTCATATACAAATTTCTTCTGGTTCAATGAATTCATTTGAATATATTGGAAACACTGACCACTCCCATAAAGAACTATTCATGAAGTGAATGATTTGGAAGTCATTGATAAAGTTAAACATTTTGGAATTGGATCAAAATTCAAATCTGTTTACGGAAATTCCGGAATCCTTACTTAGCATTCCAAACTTCTAGATAAGGAATCTTTTTTCAGGATGAAGCTTATTATGAGCGCCGGCGAAAAAATAACGATGCAGCAAAGAGGTCAAGAGATGCGAGGCGTCAAAAAGAAGAAGCAGTTGCAGCAAGAGCGGCATTTCTGGAGCAAGTGCGGTCGATTTTAATCTTTTATTTAGTCATAATAGAAGTAATTGATATTCTAGTTCTAGCTATTTAATTTCATTAATAATTCTAGGAGAACATCCAGCTCCGCAGCCAAGTCGTTTTACTGAAAAATGAAACAGCAAAGCTGCAACTAATGCTATTCTCAAAGCCAGAATTGTTGGATCCAAAAACATTATCAACAGGTCAGACTCCGCAGCCCAACATTCCCGAACAGCAACAGCGGCAACAGAAACATGAATCGACTGCTCGAAAGTCAGAATTATGAAGCATACTAGATTGTGCATGATTTCTGTTAGATTTGGTTATCCCAAGTTTTATTGATGCAATATAAGAAGCTGATAAAAATGAATATTTTCTGATGAATCACAGCAGTCTAGATCTATGGTTTTCAGAATACAAAGAATATGGATTTACTCTTCTCTCTGCATTCAACAATATTTCACTCTTGGTCATTTCATTTCATATTTAATTTATTTCAAGCAGAAAGTTTAGTGTCAGCGTAGCAATTAATCTAAACATTAGCTTAAAATCAAATGAAAAGTGATCGAATAAATTCAAATTTCATCATATTTTGATTCTTTTAATTCGTATTTCGTTTAACTATTCTCATCATCCACTTTAGTTCCTTCTCAGCGATTTTCATGCTCTTTTAAAATCCATCGATTCATTTGGGAATTCAACTTGATTGGATTTTGTTAATAAACTTTAAAAGCTTAGTGTGCTGATACGCCTCATTGTGTTTTCAACTCTCTCTTTCTTTTACTGTTTTCACTCAATGATATTGTTTTACGGGCAAAAAAATATTCTAAGGATGATGACAACCAGTTTTAAATTTCACGCCGTTTTTTCAATGTCATACAATTCCTAAAAAGTTAATATTTAAAATAACTAGAATTAATCGATAAATTTTTTTAGTTACTTGATTACAAGCTGATTGTACATCTCAAACTAATAATTCAGACGGTTATTTGTAAATGAAGCCAATTAGTGACATACAAAGTTATATTTTGCAGCGAACCATTTACTAAAATCAATTAGCGCTAATTACAGCAAATGACAGACTAGTTCTAATGCATAAAGTGCATCAGATAAAAATTAGCCAAGGTCCCAGTAGTGTAGTTTTAGTTATCATATCTGTTCGCTTTACCATGCGCTATTTTCCATCTACCTTTTGCCTAACTACTCTTACTGTACTTATGTTTTGTTTTCAAGATTTCTTTTTTCTCTTTTATTTCTTTTCACTTGTTACCTCTAATATCCGTATGATTCGGACAAATTTTGTAATAGTTCATTCACAGCTTATTATTTATAATTTTCGATCATTTCCATACTCCACCCTCGAGAATTCCTAATTCAAAGTGCAAAGTTCACCATAAGTTCGTTAAGAATTTATTCTTGAAGCCCTTTGTACCTCTTTATTAATATCCATCAATTATTATTCATATTTTTTGACATGTCACCTCACTCCAAACCTAAAAAAATATACAATATTCATTTGGAAAACTGGAAGAAGAGCTTGCCTACATCCCTTGTAATGCTTCGAATTTACTCGAAATGATTCTTCCATTTGTGGTGTCATTGTGATTATGTAAAACTATCCTTTACAGTTGAAAATTTCACACTCAGCTATCTATCTATGACTTGAGAAAAACAAAAATGCTGAAAAAACTGTTGCACATTGTTATTGCTGTTATCATTATGTTATAATGCAATATTCAGTAATAAATTTTCGTTTATTTTAAAGTAAAATTGATGTAAAATTTTACGATATCATCAATCCCTCTTAACATTTCCAAATATTGTACTGAAAAGTAGACAGTATTCTTACTTAAAAAAATCAAAACAAAGTAGTTGGAAATGTTTTCACGTCCTTCCATAAACCTATACATTAAGGTTCTGCTAGAATAAAATTAATAGTTCTAACTCGGTAATAGCTACGTTAACTTTACTATTCTTGCTTAACAAATAAAAACAAATTAATACGAGAAAAAACAAACCAAAACAAGGCCGATGGTTTTGAAAATAAATGCTCCTCTCTTTTGATGAACAAGCTGCTATGACGTATGCAAATATGTTCTCGAACCCGAAATTATTGGTCCATATTCAAGTTGGGAATTATTTTGCTGTAAAATAGTTCAACGTTTTCGATAACACTGCAGAAGTCAAAAGTGGAATTTCATGTTTTGGGATTGTTCACGAAGTCTGCGCTCTAACAGGGTAAATTAAGCTTCTGTTCAAGGATGATAAAGAGGATCTATTGGTCGTAAGTGGTATCGGTAATGTGTTGAAGAAATTGGGATAACTGCTGTAACAAATGAAGTCGTTTATGCACTGCGAGACAGGTGTAAACATTTTCGGGATCATCCATCCATCCATTTAAGCAACTTTTGCAATAAACAAAAGATACACCGAAAGATGTAACAAATGCTAAAACTATTATCGATATTCTAAAGCGGGGGAGAAATGAGATTAACTTAGCGTTGATGGTATTGGAATGAATTCAGCATTTTCATTTTAAAAATTTCATGTTAATTTAACGAATTCCGACAGTAATCTTTTGATGATTTGTTGGTTAAATGCACATTTCCATTATGATATTGCAACTATTGTCATTAACAAAAGAACTTTAATTTTTTTATTACATTTTAACAAATTCTTTAAAAAATGCATCTCCGAAGCATATCTATTAATTGTATTAGAAACTGTTCCTGGGGTCGGATTCAACACGGTATAATAAAAAGGCTGTTAAAAAAATTGTGATTCAAATTGTTTTCGATAAGTTTACTGATAGAACGTGATGAAGTAAAGGTAGTTCACCAAAGTGTTCGATTTTTAGAAGTACCCTTAATTCTACTACGATATTATTACTAATATCATCTGAACGGTCTTAACTTACTTGTTTCAGTTTTAATCTATCATTCAAAATACTCTTATCATCGCCTATCGACTATTCATAAAATGGGTATCGTTTTCTGCCCAACATATTTTATTGCAACGTGGTACTTGAGGACCTAATAAGCCTAACATTATTTATATCATAATTTCTTAATGTTGGCAAGTTTCAATAATTATTTTGATAGATTACCGATTCTAACTCTTTAATTTTATGGTATTTGCCATTTGAATTGGATCCTTATGAACTAATCCATCCAAAAACTGGATAGCATTATAATTGTTGTAAAATAATAGGCTGTGATTCTAAGACATATTCTTGGCTGAGACTGAATTATTACTGATTTCCTCGTAACTTTTTGGCCTTCCCGTTTTCTGCACTTAAACTTGCCAGTAGTGGACATTATTTTTAAGTTCGTTGCACTGATCTCTCTACTCAACTTCTCTTAACACATTCTCATTACTTTCGGGAAAGTTACCCATAATGGGTATTATATATTTATGGAACGGAAATAATTAAGGTTCACAACCATCTCTCCAATTCAATTTAGTTGGCAATGGAAAAATAGATGACCTCCAACCTCTTTCATAATTGCATTCATAGATAGGTTCAACTCAGCAATTCAGTGCAATGGACTGAATGTAAACATCACATTTACAGTTTAAATCTGTCTACTAATTGTATACACATTTCCACGTTTATCAAAAGTTGTTGCAAATTTGCTCAGATCACTGATACTTCTACAATCAATAAATTAGATGATAACGCTTTAATGAAAGTGATAAGTAAATTTACCACAAGTGATTCATTTCGGAGTGAAATACAATACCCAATGTTTCACTAATGAAAAAAAGAAGTCATCAATTCGAGCATCTTTCTGCATTATTGTCACTCTTCTACAATGTGCTTCCATCATATGTGGAGATCTTATCACTTACGTCACTTACTGCATACACTTTTGTCTTATCTTTCCAATACCTTTTATTTTAAGATACTCTTTACAAATGGCAATTAAGACAAAAAGTTGACAGGGAAAGGGAACGTTGTTTCAGCGATTCGGTAGAAACCCAACCTTCAACAATTATTCATCCATCCCTATTCGATAGAGTTAGTCAATGCTCAAGATGACAACACTTGGTAACATACAGCTTGGCGTATGGGTAAGCAGCGCTTCTTCACTCATAGTGTAAGCAAATGGATGAAAGAGCGAAAACTGTACAAATCAGTAGTGGCACCCTCACTGACTTTCATGTAAACACTGCGACGCTTTCTCTGTGTAACATCCGTCCGTCGTTGTTCACTTCACCACCGGGCTTTTTCATTTCTTCTTATATGACAGTGTCAACTGTGTCATTTTAAAGAGTTGCTTATAAGGTCATGAGCTAAATATTAGCTTAGATTTGTTGGGAATAGTCCCAGTGCCCTTTCCATTATGCAAACTGCGTGACGTTTTGTTTTCATAGTGTGTTTCACATGCTCTTCACAGAAGACAAATTTGCCAGCATTGTTGAAGCATTGTTGCTATTAAAACATATTCCTTTACTGGGTTACTTTTTAAGTTTTGGAGACAGAGAGTACGGTAATTGATATTTATGAAGCCAAATGCAGGCAATTAAAGCTGATAGTATTTCTGTTTCATTATAAAGTAATGTAATGAATGGTAGTTTGTACAGTCAGTAATAGAATGATAATTGTTTTTCATAATTTAGCTGTTTGAAAACAATGGAGATAACACGATATGTTATGAAATCGTTGACAAATCTCGGAAAAATCTTTTCGACACGATGTGTGTCAGGCATTGCATTTGTGCCCAGCCAACCAGACCCTTCATTTGGTTTTGTTACTGTTTTTTTTTTTTGCCAGAATAATTTAATTAACACATTGGCGAACATTTATGGACATATTTCAATCAGTAAAAGGAGACATAGTCATCCATACCTGTAATTCGCTCCTTTTCGATCATTTTCGTAAATGTAAAGTTAAGGTGAAACAAGCAAGATGAATTTATGCCAAGCGATCAACAACGCAATGGACATTGCAATGGAAAGCGATTCCTCCACATGTCTTTTTGGCGAGGATGTTGCATTTGGTGGCGTTTTCCGATGTACTGTTGGCTTGCAGGAGAAATATGGTCTGTAAATTTCTACAGTTGCCAAATGCATATTATCATCTTTGTTGATTATTATTTAATTGGGATTAAAAATTTAGCTCATTTCACGTAGTGCAATGGGCTTCTGTGCACTTTTCAGTACCTTGAAAAGTTTTTTTGCTTATGTATGTAATAGTTGCAGGTGGAATTTCATATTTAATAAAACAAAACTGGATTTATCTAAATTGAGTACAGTAGGAAGTGCTAAACTTGAAAAGAGGAATGTAGAAAGAACGAGTCCAACTGTTTGAAAAAAAAGGACTGCATGACTTCCTGCTTCCTACAATACTTCCTGAAGTTTTCATTTTTTACTTTTTATTTTTTTTAAAGCAGTATTTGTAAGGATCAGAATATTTGATTTCACTGCAAGGGCACTTTTGTTTAATACATGTAATCTTTCATCTCATTACCAGGGTTATGTAAGAACTTTCAAAATACATGTATTATATGCAATTTTCTATTATTGTCATGCATCAGTTCAATATTTAAGTAGAAAATTACATGGTTAAAAAAAAGTTCCTAAAAATTTCTATTTGAAGATGCTTCTATTTCTTTTACATAATCCAAATCTGAGGGATTGATCGTGAACGCTATTTTCAATTGTTGATTTATTTTTACAGGCAAGGATCGTGTTTTCAATACACCCATTTGCGAGCAAGGAATAGCTGGTTTTGGCATCGGTTTAGCAGTCTGTGGTTCGACAGCCATTGCAGAAATACAGTTTGCTGATTATATATTTCCAGCTTTCGATCAGGTAATTTATCTTGAATCTACAAATATATAGGCTTAGTAATTTCCAGTTTATTGAGCCTGGATTAATAAGTTTAAGTTAGTTTAAACCTACAATAATTTTTGTGCTAATGAAGGTATATACATTGATTAAGGTACGGACAATTCCTCATTTTCATTTAGACTACTGAGTCTAGTTAAGTTGAGATTGAACTTATATGGATAAAGCTCTGCAATAGCTTATCAATTTGCGATTTTTGCTATCATTGTGTTTTTAGATTGTTAATGAGGCGGCCAAGTATCGGTATAGAAGTGGAAATTTGTTTAACTGTGGAAAATTAACAATAAGAGCAACGTGGGGTGCTGTTGGTCATGGCGGTCTCTATCATTCTCAAAGCCCTGAAGCTTATTTTACACATGCGCCGGGTTTGAAGGTATGAATTTTGTTTACTGAAAGTCTTGTGAACGTCTTCGACGCCATTCCTTCATCGCTTTCAGAATACGCATCCGTTTCATTTTCATTCTACTTCATCATACACATTTTCCTTTTAAGTTGAAGTGATTCTTTTTAATGCTGCAAATGTAATTAAAACATCGAAAGTTGGTGGTGAATTAATTTAAAAGAAGACGGAAAACAAAACTTTTAGATTTAATTTCAGTGTGCTGCACTTCAATATTCTGAAACCTTAAACATAAATCTCTCAGCTTATATTCCTTTATTTCAGAAATTTTCTGAATGAGTGATAGCATGTGTTTAAGGTAGTGGTTCCACGTGGACCGATTCAAGCGAAAGGTTTACTGCTGGCATGCATTCGAAACGAGAATCCATGTATATTTTTTGAACCAAAATTGCTGTATCGTGCAGCTGTTGAAGACGTTCCAGTCGGAGATTACGAGACTGAGCTTGGACAAGCTGAAGTTGTTAAGGAAGGTGTGCAAATATTTCCTCTTTTTTTTTAAATCATTTGTTCTGAAGATTCTTCCATGGATCATTCGTTTTACGGTTATGCAAATTATGATTTCATGCTTTATAAACTTCCATTCAATCTACATGAAAGTTAAAGTTCAATCTGGGGTCCAAGTTCTAATTTAATAGTATTGACTAGTTTTTTTAAAATTTCCAGAAGTCCTTGGAAATGCAAAACTGCATTCGTTCCACACAATTTACCGAATTCATATATTATTCATCTTTCTTTTGATTTGATATTATGTTATTACTCATTTTTCTTTTGATTTGATATCCATTATGATAATCAAATAATAAGTGTAATAGGTATGTCGAGGTAAGTTGAAACTGTTCTAATTTACAGGGAAAAATGTAACAATTGTCAGCTGGGGTACCCAACTGCATGTTGCACTTGATGCTGCGCAAATGGTTGAGAAAGAAATTGGTGTTAGTTGTGAAGTGATTGATTTGAGAACTATCTTGCCATGGGATATTGATACGGTTGCGGAGGTTTGTTCAATTTTTTAAACTTATGGTCTGTTTCACTTTTGTGCGCTATTGTTGAGAATATGAAATGTGGTATGGTTTTTTTTTCGAAGTAAAAATAAATAAAAATGTTGCTGGTTTTAACAGCTTAAATTTATTAATAAGTGTTGTCTTTAGAGTGTTTATAAAACTGGTCATCTAATAGTAACTCATGAAGCACCCATAACCTCCGGATTTGCAGCCGAAATATCAGCGAAAGTTCAGGTGAGAAAACTGTGTACCATTGTTTTTGTTAGAATTATCTGTTGTTAATTATTTTTCCTTGGGAAGATTAAATTTTAAATTTTGGTTTCAAACGATAACTTCGGCTAATAATTGGGGGACAATTTTCTTTCCAGTTTTTCTAAAAAACAATACTGCAACAATTTTTAAGCGTATTTCTATTGTGCAAAATGGATCCACAAGACTCTTAATCCTAGTAATACTGAAGTATTCAGGAACGATGTTTCTTGCACTTGGAGGCTCCAATTAGTCGTGTTTGCGGCTGGGACACACCATTTCCGCATATTTTCGAACCCTTTTATCTACCGACGAAGTGGCGTGTGATAGAATCCATCAAGAAATTAATCGATTTTCAACATTAATTTTTTCTTCCGCAGATGTTGAAATAACGCATATTTTGTTAATTGATAATTAATTTGCTATTGAAATAATCATTAATGCAAAGCTGAGGGTAAGGAGAATTCCAAATGTTCAAATAAATTCGGAAGTTGATTTTAGAGACTGAAGACGGAGATTTTTTCCGGAAAATTTTCGGAATTTTAAGTATACCTGAATTTTATTCAAATTTGCCAATTTTTAGTGACATTTTGCCATGTACTTTTGTGATTTTAATTGCTTATGATTCGCTATTTTATTTGTAATTAGTTTTCTTGGTGTCATATTTCCACTCTCTTTATATGATGCAATGTGGTGCCGTGATATCCTATCCCATCATTCTTATTGCTATTTTTTTTAGAATTAAAGTTGGATGACACTTTTTTGCACGTTACTCGCAAAATCATTGAATGTTTCAGAAGGCACGTAAAATTGGGACGTTTAAAACATTCATCAACCTCAGTTAAGTTTCGAAATCTTTTTCGAACATAATTTTTCAGTTTTGTTTGCATTCTTCATTGCTTTTTTTTTCCAGTTGAATTCCATGGTCTCATGTATGCTTCAGTTCTACATTCATTTTTGAAGTACTCTGAACTATGTTTGTAACAGTCACGCAAACCGTCTTCAAAATTCATCCTGCCAATTCTAAGGGCCATCATTTTCCTTCTATGATTTATTTCATATAAACTTTTCCAATGTCCTTCACTCGTTTTCCTTTTACAATAGTGAAGACAAGTTGGAACTCCATGTTATTTCAATTGTTTTCCTGTTCAAAAGCACTTTTTCTTCAGTTTTGTTCCAGTTCATTTTCATTCATTTCAACTTCTTCGTTCTTTATGGGGCTTGAAAATAATGAGATAAGCAAAATGAGAAACAGTGCAAGCTAATAATGACAACTACCACGACTACCATGACTATTTGGTGTCTTCAGTATGTTCAAATTCCAGCCTCGAAATCTATTCGTCACATTTTTTTTGACTGGAACCAACTTAAACTCCCACTCTTGCTCTTTTAAAGATTTCGAGGGATGAATAATTGTTATTTGCTATTGATTTATTCAGGTGCCGTTAGTGAAATATTCCGATTAGTAGTTCGCAATAACACTTTATGATCAAAATATACAGTAAATTTTGCTTTCGTATTCCTGCAAACTTCCACTTTCATCGAAATATTGTAAAAGATTGTAGACGAGTAGCTTATTTGATGGATTTTAACTGGTCATTTTAAACCTATGGAATAGAAAATAACTAATATGAATATTTCAGGCAAGGATTCCACCTGTTTATTCCAGAAAAAATTCAAGCGAAATGATTTATAAAATGAATCGGACAAGCAACTTTATACACGTCATTGTGCAGTCATTTCATGCTCTAAACGGCTTTCTTAATAGAAGAATGCGCATGAAGGGAAGGCTTCCTTGCATTGTTTTTCTCAATTTTAGAAGAAAAACAGATGAAAGCACAGGACAAGAGAAAGAAATTGGCAGTGGTTAAATAAACAGCGCCTACTCTTTCCTATACAAACCTGGGAAGTGAGTTGTCGATGATGCTCGTTGACATCATTCACTTACTTATCCACCCGTCTTTGCTAAATGTAACCATTCGTGGATTAAAGCTTTCGTGCAATGAAGCTTTAATATTTACTTCCTTTGCTCTCGGAAGAGGGGGGAAAAAAAACACTTTTTAATGCAAGAACTCTTTTTGCCACATCACATCATTTTGCTTAACATTGGCTAATAATGTATTGAGCTTGAAGTTAGCAGCAAGCAGTCAGTCTACTTCTCTCAAGTCCTTGAATGTCACAGGCATTCTTCGTTAATCCCAAAATACTCAATACTCCCACGTGTTTACTTGATATAGGCAATTTTCAGTGAAAGTAAAGCTTAGAAAAATATGCAATGTCATGAGAGCAAATGAACATATGCTTTTTAATTTCGCTTCTGATGAAGATAGCTAGTAAGCGGGGTACTGAATCCTTTAGTAATGCTTAATTGTTACTTATCATTACATAACGCCAAGATTCCCTGCTGTTTTAGCTGACTGGTGGATGTTCCTTATTTCGACCGGCATGATACTTTTAGAAGAGATCGTTGAAGCAAAATCTATCTACGCGACATTCTTTTATCTTGCATCGAGAGATTTCAGTTCTAAGATGTGCGTCATATTATACATCAAAATTGCTCAGAGCTAGGATAGATTTCGTTCTTCATAAATTTAAAGCTTCAAGTCTAATTATCACAACGACAAAAAAATTATCCGCCGAATCATATTGTCATGACTGTAATGCAAGTTGTTCCAAGATTTTGACATTTAGCTTTTTCCACCTCTACAGATTCCAACTACCAAGCCCTCCTTCCATTGTGTTGTCTTGCAAGCTAGTAAACTGCGAACCAAAGATGTTACAATTTTTTTATTACTTTTCTCAGTAAGGTGGGAAGTTACCAAAAAACTTTAACTTTTTTAGAGAAGCAGAACAATATTAAAACGCTGTCGTTGCATGAATTCCTCAACAGAGCGCCTATGGATACGAATCTGAATAATTCATGAACAGACTAATAATTTCCTCTCTCCCTCCACCTCCATCTACTACAGCATCTTCCTTAGTAATGCAATTTGATCTTATCAATAATTGAGAGCTGTGACTGGAGTATGCAGACCGCTAATGAAAAAATTAATTCTTCCTCATGCCTTTTTTCACTCTCTTCTTCCAAACAAATGCTGAATTCTTTGTACAACTACACAAACATCTAACCAGCTCTTTATGTACTGATATCACAGGTCGCCGAACTTAAGAATTGCTCAAAGAGGGTCAAAGGAGGGAATTGTGATAACAACAGGATATAATGTCCGTTGATGCTGAAAAAGACTATTGCATACGCATAAGACCTTTCTCACCATGTAACAGTACAATCAAACATTCAAATAAATTAATTAAACATTTAACATTTGTAGGGAAAAATTCAAACAAGAAATGTTCATTTCACGAACTTCTCCACGTTGAAACACGATTTACATTTTAAATGAAATCATTATCATACTGGTGATAATCAGTCATTAAGTGCAATGAAATGAAATAAATTAAGAAAGCAGATCACGTGTTCTGCGATTACGTACGAATGATATTGACAGATTCGCTTGCATTCATATCGTACGAGGAGTAATAAAAGCTAAAAAGTAGAGAAGGTTTGAGGGAGAGTATTTTCTGTGAAGTATAAAGAATAGTGCAATCAGAAACTGCACTATTCATATTTAAAAATCATGTGAGAATTTTTTGGAGAACTAAAACCGACAAAAAATAAAGATTGGCGGTAAAAATTCAACTCAAAATTGCTTAGACAAGTACAGAGAAAGGATGAGAAAGAATAGAAGGAAGGATCAACGGCCAATTTCTATCGAATCCACGTAAAGCAAATAGTAGAAGAATTTGAATGGGCCATTGCTCCTGTATAGATTGATCATCAGAAACGATCACCGCACGTAAACAAGTCGATTTTCAGCAATTTTAGAGAAATGAAGATGAAGAAATTTTCTTTAGAAGCCATCCTTCGGTAGATACTGGCAACTATTTACGGTGGTTGTCTTCAATAATGTGAAGAATTGAAGGAAATTTATTGGAGGAAAGAAAAAAAAGCCTTTGAGAGAAATCTATATTGGTGAGATGGCGGTAAAGATAAGAAAAGATACGGGAATAGGAAGTAGGCACTTAGAAGCCGTGGATAGCAAAGGCAACCAGTTTCTTTAAGGATAAATTGTAAAAGAAAAAAGAACAGAATACCGGAACAACGTTTGAAATAAAAAGGACAGTAAAAGTTTGTTCAGAATGTTCAGAAATGGTTCAGAAACGGAAAATATCTGGTTCCGGGCGCAAGAGCAAAGGGATAGGATAGATACTAAAGCACAGAACCAATAGTCACGGATTTAAAAGTGCTACGAAATGTCGTTCTGATAGGGGTTGGGAGAGAGAGAGAGAGAGAGAGAGAGAGAGAGAGAGAGATGTTGGCGCTGTATTTTCAAATTCGTGCTTGCATATGTGGACGGATAAACAAATGAGAAGAAGTCTGAGAAGAAGTCAAGTGAGAACAGCAAAACTTGTATGAAGGTGAAGGCCATTCCTGTCAGGTAACCGTTGTGATACAAATATTTTACATGTTCAAAAGTATTTGACTTGAAAATGAAATTTTAAAATAGTGCTCAATTTCTTTGAATAAGGATATGTACTATTTAAAGAGCTTGATCATGACGGAGCAAAAGTTTGAATTCATTTTAATTTCCCTTTGCAAATTAAAGCAAATATTTGATCGAAAAGTTATGCTACTTTAAAATTTATAAAGACCTGATTTGGGAATGATATGAGAATGTAGAAAAGATTTTCAATTCAGGCAAGGAAAGTGTTTTGTTGTATCATATGATAAGCTAAGTAAGGAGAGAGCTTTGAAGGGAAGAAGTAAAGGTATAACATACACTTTTTACACAACTAATTAATTCTCGAAAAAACAGAATGATCATGTGGAAGAATTCTGGACTCGAGAAGGACGATTAAGAGACAATGTTGAAACGAAAAAAAAATAAAGCTAGTTACAATTCTTTATAAAGACTTTGATATACATATACATCAAAACATGCTCTAATGAATTCCAAAAAATACAGTTGGAAAAGGTGGAACAGCATGAATAAATGAACCGTAAATAAAGTGATTTAGACTGAAACTGGTGACTGAGGTCTTGAACGAGACTTTCTTTAGCCCTTATTTTATCAATGACTAAATAAAATTATTCGAAAATATCTTCAGCAAAACATGGAGAAGACCGAAATAACTATTAAATTCAATTTCCTGTTTTAAAGAAACAGTTTTCAAGCTTTCCATTCAAAAACAAAAAAAGTTATGTAAAGATATTACATTCCATCACGGCAAACAAACTTGCATTTCCGGATGCGTCGTTGCTTTCGTTTCGGTTGATTTCTATACAACCGGTATCCAGTAGGAAGCATTTGGTGGCAAATACAACAGTGTCTGACGAGGTGTATGTCCACAAAAGCCGCCGATACAGCTCTGCTGATAATACATATTGACGGATAACTGATAAGCCAACCTGTCAACCATTGATAATGTCTGTCGTCGCTCATGTGACATCAGGCAAACCGTGCTCTCGCTGATTACTCGATATAACAATAGCAGGTAATCATACTTATCCTGAAGTACAAATTTTAAGTTTGAAGTAAGGCTTAAATTCAACAGCCATTAATCAAGTATTCCTGAGAAACAATTTAATGAGTCAATTTCTGCTCTAATCCATCTGTAACAACGTACGATTTTTTTTATGCGTACTTATTGAATTCATAAGATTTGAAGTCATTTTGAACAAAATCTGGTGGAAAGCATAATTTTCGAGAATAAAAAAGATATTAACCTGAGGAAAGAGCTAAAGCATTGACAGATTAGTCACATAAAATACAAAAAGTATAAATCTGTTATCAGTAAAAAATATTGAAGCCAACGTCATTTCTCTAAATCTGTCGAAATTTCTAAAGTCCCTAAAGTAGTTGGAAAAGTAGTAACCTGGTCCTCAGTACCAAAATGATTGTCAAGATAGGCGCGCAGTTTAACTTCCTGGCTATTGACTTCTGGAAAATCAATAAAGAAACGGGAACACATATACCGCTCGAGCTGACGGCATTTGTTTGGCCTAGCTGCTTTATAACCGCGAGTAAGCAAATGGCAATATTTTAACAGTCCTCCACCACGAATCTCCTCAGGCCTTCGTGTGTCAATTAGTCGTTCGTTCAGATGTTGTAACGCCTGAAAAATAAAATTTTTTTGAAGCAAAAAACCACTGATATTATCCAACATGGGATCTAAATTTGTTGTGATAAGCATTTCATCCTCCTAAGGTCTCAAGAGCTAAGTTAGGCTCTCGCTGCCACATATCCTGAATGGAATATTTGATGTGTGCAATAAGTAGGCGCAGTAAACAGCCTCCCTTATGTAGAAAGTTATTATAATTTTTTTTAAGATCTAAATCACTTTATTTATATATGAGAATTTTGTTCTTTTTTAGATTAAAACGAAAATTCTTGACAAAAGAATAAAATCCTTTCGTCATACTTTCCAGTTTTCTTATTCATTCCTTCCTGATGTAAAACACCTTCTGGAAAACTATTTACTACTATTGGTTGAACTACAACATTACTTCCCTTCATTTTTTTTCTTTAACAGAATGAAAATACGAAAAGGTGTAAAAATCCCGAATAGCACTGTAAAAAATCTACGATACTCGAAGTGAGAGATAACGGGGCATTTCTTTGAGATAAAAATGACCGTCATTTTTGTATCGCTCATGATTTACTTCTCTCTTCTTGCTAAAGAAGTAATCTTAATGAGATAGAAGACTAAATTAACTTAAATAGTTATCATTAATGTTAAGCTAATTTCCTTCATTTGGAAAGTTTTTTCTCGACATATCATTTCGAAGTACGAAAAGAAATCATTCATATTTTAATGATATCATAAAAATGGTTCCAATATTTATGTGTATTGTAGAATAACAAAATATTTGATTAAAGCGGATTTTTGAAGGAAACACGAGAGCAACCTTGTTAATGTCACCGAACATGCTTTCAGCAGTGATGATTGGTTTTGGATGGTCGGGTCGATCCAATAAAACATCCAAGGTAATCTGGAAACTATCAACACTAAATTCGAACTGACGCCGCATTCGATCCACGAATTTTAACTCGATACATCGTCCGAAATCGTTGTGAAGCGAAAACAATGACCAGCGATCACCATCTGATACTTTAACCATTTTTCGGATATAAATATCCTTTAACGTATTGGCCGATATCTTTTCCTTATTAGTCGATTCCGGCATTAACTGTACCATAGCATCGAAAACGGCCGATCTTACCTGAAACTATTTGTCTTCATGTTGATTTATAACTTCCAAAACTTTACTCTCAGATAATGTCTAGGGAACGAAATTGTTTGGTTTGATTGCAAAAAGTAGTGTTATAATCTGGAACGTTATTTGTTTCGAAAAAATGAATGGATATACTTTTCATTACCACCCTAAATACAATCCACCATATCTACCTAAACAGCAATAATCAAGAAGTAAACAGTGTCAACTTCCAGTCTTCTTAAATCGCAGTAATCCATTTGAAAGTTATGATATTTCACATGCAAATAATTCTTCTGGAGAAGCGAAATTCACCGAACTTATATTTGTAGTGGGAGCGGTAGATCAAATGCAGAAGAGAAAATGAATGCAAAAAAACTTTGGAATTCCACTTTGTATTTGAAATCAGGTTTTTAAGGTTTTTGACAATTTAGCACTATCAGTTGACAATTTTAAGTTTGATTATAAAATCTTTAAGCGATGAAGAAAAGCGATTGGGACTAACGCTATCAAAGCTTTGTTCGTTTTCGAAACTCATTGGAAAAATCAAGTCGAGATCTGAATATGCGAATTCCTCCGTTGCCACAACATATGATGCAGCACCACCGTTCATTTTCACATTTTTTGGACCAATACCTGCTGCACGTAGACTATCACGTACACAGACGATCAAATCATGCAGACGTACACTGATTGTCGGAAAATTGCCCCTTCCGTGAATTTCTACCTGTTCATTAAGTACTGAGCGCAATCGTTCCACCTGAAACAATCTTGACGTCTTCTTCAATATTCTACAGTGTGCTTGAAGAAGTCAAGCAACTGGAAATTCAAAAGTGGTAGAAGAATGGGAATAGTAATTAAATTAATGTTGTAAAGGTTTCCGAATTTTTTTTAATAGTAGAATATACGAAAGCTACGGGACTCATAGACAACGAAATAACTTTCAATCATATTTCAAGATGATTCAGGAGATACTGGTTAAAACTGACATCAAAATTTGTTGACAGAAATTAATCTTCTTCAAAAAACAAATGGCTATTTTTATGACATTTTTGAATTTTGATGTAACACTTTTGCAAACAATCAAAATTTACTAAACCAGCGTCGAAAAGTGATTCATGAAATCTGAAATCTGCAAAATAAAGCTGTACTGAAAAAAAAACCAAATAGATGATGGAAAATGAAAGAAATGCATTTACTTGTGCCGGATTAAGCTCTGTTGTGCTTGATAACGAATAAACTTGAGAGCTACATTCCGAGGTCATTTTTGAAGCAGCAAAACTTGACGATGAATTGTACTGAAATGCATTTAAAATATGATTAAGAAATGAAAAACGAAATTTTATGCAAATTTTCTGGAACGTCTGCTTTAAACTATCATTAAACTGGGTAAAGTATTAAAATATGCAGCATTTTTCAAGACTTTTGCTTTTTACTCGGTAAGGTAGAAATTCCACCCTAAGATCCCTAAGATCAGTGCTTTGTATATACATCATCATGGATTTTGAGTGGAAAATTGAATAATTAAGTTTAACTGCAAATTAGTCTTCCTGAAAACGCAAATTTTCAAAAGAACAGTTCAACAGTTACAAAAAATCCTTCAACGACAATATACCGGATTGACAGTGATGCATGAAGAATACAGTACTACTGCAAGTTATAAAAATAATGCGGCCAGAAATGACGTATGCAGGCGAGTATGAAAGTACTAATTCATTCGAAAACGGAAATGACGCAATAAAACAACCAGTTATGATGGAAGAGTAAAGAAAGCTATTCAAGTGGTTCACAATTTGTATTATCACACTTATTTACAATTCATTTCTAGTAAATGTTGACTCTCTAAATTAATTTTTTAAGGGAATATTTTTTGGTGAACATTTCAGTTCATTGGAAACAATTCGATCAAAGTTCAAAATTTTAAACAGGGCGCAAAAGATCTGCGTCAACAGACTGTAATTTGATGGGCAAAATGAATGGCGTAATGTCATGTGTACCATTCACAATGAATGATAAAAAATTATTGGAGGAGTGATCTTTGCCTTTCGTTAGCTTCAACGGTGGCGGAGTAATCTTTGTCCGAGCTATAATCATAGTCAAAGCTGAATCCATTTATTTCAAATTAATTTCAAGCTGTAGGACAGCTCCGCTTCTTGGTCAGTCTAAAAGCCGTTTGTTCAATTGGAATTTAGCCGATTAGTCTATTAGCTTTAACGGCATAAGTATTGTGTTGCTCAGTTTTATACTATCCAGCAAAAAATGCTACAAAAGAAGAGGAAGAAAGTGATGAGATCTTGCGAAGTATAATATGAGTGGCGGCAATTGAATAATGTAAATGATGACAATAGGGATAGTTGTGGTGAGATGAAATGTGATGTGATGAAAATAGCTTGAAGATTGATTTGTGTCGGAGGCGGTAACTGTGCATGCATGATGGACCCTCCTCTTTTCTTGGCTCTGTAAGCTGGAACTGGAATGCTTTGGAGAGCCTCTCAATGATGGTATCAAATAGGTAGTATGTTTATGATTTCATCTGATGAAAATAACAATCCGCCGCCTGCTACCACCTTTACTCCTGTAATAATCCATTACTCTGACCACTAGAATAACGGATATATAGGAGGAGACTGAAGAAGATGACCTCGATGAACTTCAGCTTTCACTTCAAGGTCATTGCATGAGGAACACCAACAGCAGGAAAGCCAAACTGGAAAATATCTGATAGGCCAATCCGAAACAACCGATGGAGGATGCACACGACACACGATGACAATAACTTTTTTTGCTTGCTCACCTTCCTTTTTTCTCCCTCTTTCATGTCCACCTCCTATATTTTTTCCATCTATCGGAGGGTAAAATACTGCAATTTATCCAGCTTATATTGCATCACTAACTTTCACTGTCATTATTAAGAATTTCGTCTTTTATTAAAATTTATTACATAAACGACATTGCTTCATAGATAAATATGCAAACAAATGTAAACAACAGTATATATTCTCTATGCGCCCTATTTAAAGAAATGAAATCCTCCTAATAAGCAGCGCTTTTTAAGTTCGAAATTAGGTTGGAATTGTATGAATTAAAGTGAAGTGCTCTCACAGATCAAAGAATTTGCATCACAGCCACCCTTCTATTGCTACTATGGACATTAAATGCACAATTGAGAAGTGCACATCACTAAAAATGTGAAAACGAATACAAATATTGAGAGGAATTGGCTTTTAAATGAAATATTCCCATTCCGTTCGTTACATTTTCATCCGGTACACTTCTTTCCCGTGAAAAATTCGGCAAATAAAGTCACATATGTTAATAACAAAAGCAATTTTTCAGTTTCAGGAAGGGGAAAGGACATGATTCTTCCTTTAAATAACCTTCATTCTTACTAGTTTCTGAAGTCCTATCCCAATATGCTGTCTAATTAGAGCCAGTCTTCGCAACTGCTGAAGTCAACACTATCTACATTCTTGTATCACGTCACCAAATCGGAATATTTTTCATCTCAAAAGGCTAATGACGTCAATAATTAAAAAAGCTACCACATTAGAATGAGATGGGAGCAGATGGACTCTAAGCTTGAGGCTATTTATAAGCTTAAACTATAAGCTAGAATCCATCCACTTCCATCACATATCAAATTCATGGTACACCAAAGCGCTCGCTTATGGAATAGAAAAACACAGGCCTTCCTGTTCAAAGGGTCGACCGAAAGCTTGGCCTCTCTGCTCTTTGCATAGAAAAGAGAACAACAACAATGCCCACAGGCACTAACCTCATCATATTGTCCTATGGCCTGCCATTTTTACCCTTCAAGCTTTCTCGGAATGACATCATTCCTAGTCTATTTGCCCACTCATTCTCTCTTTCTTTCTCTCTCTCTTCTCTTCTCCGTCTTTGCTAATTTATTGGATATTTCTTTCCTCATTTCAAAAACCAATGACGGGAAGCATCTGTCGATTAAATTCAAATTTCAACTGTTCAAAAAGAGATTCTCGAGGTACTTTTAGCAACCTCTTGCTTTTTTTCCCTAACCCTTTCCCTTTCTCTCTATACGGACACACCAGTTAAGATAGAATTGAAAAACGAAGCAGAACGCAACATTCGCAGGGCGGTTCTGTCTCTATTATTTTGGTCCAATAGTTATACAAAGTGGCTGCCATCCTTAAAAGGCTTCAAGAACGTATCATTGATGGCGTCATCAGATTCCTATCATCGTCATCAGCCTGTGTTTACGCATTCCTACTACCCTTTATGTTTGGATATTAACTTGAAGTCAAGCAATATTGGGTAATTGCTAAAAGGTATATGTTATAAAATGACGTTTGCATATCTTGACACTTTTGATATGAATAAGTTTTAGAATACGAAAGTTTTATGCTAAAAAAATAATTGTTGAATAAACCTAAACAAAAGTTATAAACAATTTTATCCCGTGGATCGTTGATCAGTTTGGTAAGGTTATAGTTCTGTTAACTGAGATATAACAATGATAGTAAGTTGTATGAAAGAATAAATGATTGGCCCCTTGAGTGTTCATTGAAAAGAAACGCTTTTATTACAATTGTTGTAAGCATAGAAGGAAGAGCAGAAATAAGCAGGCAAGATGTTGTTTCAGTTTTATATGAATATACAATAGACATAGAAAATAGTATCAACAAGCAGCAATATAGCTGGTAATTGATAAAATCATAAATAACCAGAAAACTAACTTTTTTTTTTTTTTTTTTAAACAAAACAGACCAACAATGATATCTTATATGTTTTATATGTCGAGAGGTTTAATCCAGAAGTTCCATCTCCGGGGAAGCTGCATTCCTAATATTCCGCCACAGTTTTGCTGTTATCAGAAGCACCTTACATCTAAGAGTATATATATATATATATATATATACCACTGTTATTCTTATATTTATCACCATTGTTATCATCAAGATCATCATCACCGTTGTGATATGGATCCTCGCGAAGGCTGTAGCCCGCTGCTGACGATGATGAGAAAAAAGTAACGAGGAAGCTGAAACTTATCATTTTCTCTTTTCATGAAAAGGTAGCAGAAAGAAATTATAGTTAGCGTTAAGACATTCCGATTGGTTAGTTCTTCACCAAATAATAGCTCTAAAGGTGTAAAGAAAAAAATTAGATTATAAGGAATATTGCAGTACTAAAAGTGATTGTGAGAAAGAATAGGCAGTAATTGTTTCTGAATAAGGTTGAAGTTGCAGGATTATTGAGGCTGAGAAGAATGTAAGCTGAGGTAAAATGCCAGGGAAGCTTTTTTTTTGTCTACAGAACTTTAAGTTTGAAAATTAGAAGCCAAGTGCTGTGTTAAATTTTCGGTAAAAGCAAAGATCAAACTAACAAACAATCGTCATAATGCTGTGCCATCCCATAATTCTTAATTAAAATAAGTGGAGTGAACGTTTCATTACAGTGCAAAATAATGGTATGATAATGGTAGATATTTTCAGAAGCTGAAGGAATGCTATTGACTAATCCAACAATTATCGCAATATTTTGTTATTCAGAAGATTTGGCATGTATTAATTCATTTCAAATTTTAATTAAATTAATTTGAACTCCTAAAATCGCATATTATATAAAAACATATCTATGAATTAATAAAATGAATTACAGAAAATGAATTACAGTAAAGCAAAGTTCAGTATAGCCAAGGCTGCTTTGTGCCAGGATGAAATTTTGGCCATGATAACTTCATGTATAAAGGACAGGAACCACTGAGAAAAAGGAATTTAATCTGCTACCTTTTCCCTCATATCATCCTACATTATAAAGAAGCGTTTTACATGTTTCTTGATTATTTGCGAGAAAAATTTACGCTTCGTTAAGTAATTAATAATTACAACCTTTTTATTTTTAATTCCTGATCGATTTTCATAACAACAATGAAGGAAAACCTTCCTTGGCTAGAATGAAGCACTACTGCTTGGGAAATACGTCAATCACTACTCATCAATCAATAATGACCAATGTGAGGCAAAGGTCAACAACGTACCTACTGTATATATGAAAAAGATTAAGGAAAAGAAAGTAAACTTCTCACAAGTCGATTTCTAGATTTCAGAAATTTATTTTTAGTCAATGCCATTGAAAGAAATGAAAAGTCACAAATGCATCGCAAACTGTTTGTCGTGTCACCACTGCTTTCAATGAAGCGGTTCAAAGTTCATAAAATGTCTTACGAATCGAATTTGTTGGAGGAAAAGATGATAAGAGGAAAAATGAATACTTTCGAGATGATCTAAAAATGAACAAACGATTGAAATAGACAAAGAAAGCTTACTTTTTGAAATCTGCGCGAAAGAAACGTGTTATTTTCATGCAAAGTAAATAACAGTTGCAATATGTGAGTGAATATGAATAAAAAGGTGAGCAGGTAAATAGGACAATTAAACATGAAAGTAAGAGATTGGAAAATGAGATCACGAAAAGATTGCTAAGTGATAGTGTAATTATTTAGTATTATGGTTCAGAAAGCAGGGATCGTAAAGCAGAAAGCAAAATGAAATCTGAAACCGATTTTGAACCTATAAAGAAATTAGAGTAATACTTTATATTAACGGAAGTGCTGAAAACTAGACATATGTGCAAAGATATAGTTTATTGAGTTGAAAGCAAGTTTACCAAATTTTTGAAAAAGTAAAAGTGTTACAAACAACCTATCCACATTTATGTCTTATTGTTTAGTAAGACATAAAACTTTATGTTTAACATTTTGATAGCAATAATTTTTGAATGGAGAAAGGACAAGATATAAAGCAATCCAGTTAACCTTTATTTTTTCCAAATATTAGACTGTATAAGAACAATTTCCCCAATTCAGGAGATGTCCTATCATTAACAGAATCGTTACGGCCTTACGGCTTTTTGGTGGTAATACCGTCTTTGGTAGTTGAATCCAAATGAGATTCTGGTAAGTCTTGAATTTCAATTTTTTTTTTCTCAAAGATTCATCATCGAAGAATTTGATGATGAGAAGAGGAGGAGGAGGAGAAATGTAATTGTACGATACTACAGAGAGATGGGATAAAAGAAGTGATAAATAGTCACAACAATAGAAAACATGGAATAATTCTAAATTTACTGACAAATTCACGATATCACCACTTGTTTCTCTTTCTCTCTCTTTCTCTCTAAGCAACATCAATTCAAATTTTTAGAAACATTTCATCGAGAAGAATTCGCACAAAACAAATAATCAAATAATGATCAGCAAGAAAAAACCCTGAGGGTTCTATGACCAGAAAAGCGTTGCACTGAGTCGTCCTAGTTATGGCATGGGTATTTAAAATGTACTGATAATCATGGAATACCGTCTAAACGTCGCATTTTCGAGGAAAAGCATGAACTTCTCCGGTAAAAGCTGATGAGAAAAAGACGCTCCTCTCAGTGGAATGTTTTCATAACGCCTTCGCGTGAGAAATCTAATGTTCTGGGGCGTTCTTCCTGTCCTATCTGGCATGGTGCCTTCATCGTCCATATTTATTCAGACGCACTGATCACAAGGATGACAGCTCTGAACATTGCGAGGGATGAATTAATTGACGATTTTGTCTCCAAAACAATTCTGTCGAAGAATGAAGGCGAATCATTTCACCCGGCTCCTGCTAATGAAAATCTTTACCTATGACCAGAAGCAAACGCTGGTGGGCTGTATATAGAATACTTTAACTTCGATTCAAAACCGTGGAATTTTATATCATGAAACGGTGAGATGTTCTGCGGGAGAATAGAAAATCGTATTTAAGACTTTATCCCGAGATGCAGGTAGTGAGTTAAATATTCGTCTGAAAGTTAACTTGCACTATAAAGATTTTAAACACACCCATAGAATAGCAG